TTTTATACTGCTTTTCATTAAAGAGCGCTTTTACCGCTACCCTGTGAAAGCAACGCCTGGCCAATTTCCACTTCACAACTAACCTGGAAGGCATCAACATTTCCCAGTCTGTACTGCACGTGGCTGTCAACCACCAGCTTGCTTAGACGGAGAACCTCTCTGCACAGATGAAAGGCATTGCCGAATCGCGACTTCTTTCTCTCCTGAAGGAGGCAAAAAAATAAAAAATAAAAAATAAAAAAAAGTCATAGGTCAGCAATGGTCAAAAGAAGTGCACTTCATACTAGAATACAGTCAGACACTTAACAAAAACAAAATGTGAAGTTAGATCCTGCTCTGCAGATTGTACCTTTGTGGTCAGTGTCTTGACAGGCTTCAGGTTGAAGTTGTAGTCCAGATGCAGGTAGTTGAGGTTCTTACGATGGATGAGCAGATTGAGCATGTTGTAGCCCTGTCTGCAAACCTGCAGGCCAACCTCCACCCAATCCAGCTTTGTGGACTGGAAAAACTTTGTGGCCTTAAAGGAGCGGAATAGGTATCTACAAGACAACAGAGGGATAACTTTTACAGATGAACTTGGATAATGAGCAAAATAAATAAAGGTTTAATTAAAAATGCATGAAAGCAGGATATCAAAATAAATCCAAGGATGCACACCTCTTCTTCTGGGCCTTGGGTGGTCTGTGTTTGAGAGCATTGAGCACGTAGTACTTCAGCAGTTTCTGGTATGACACACGTACTTTCACTGGCTGTCCAGCAGGGCAATGCTCGCGGTACCTATAAAATATTTTAGCAACATATGTTTAATACTTATCAGATTTTTTTTTTTTATTATTTTAACCCTAATGCAAAACAAAATCTTCCACACAGCCAACATCTCTTCAAACAGTAAAGTACTTCAGATTTACTCCTGTCCTAACAGCTTCACAGTTTGCTCACCAGTTCTTGATCAGGGGGATATCGATGGCACGTCTTGTTCGGCCAGATCTGAGGTTGAAGGGTCTCGGCGCCCACAGGAGAGCAATGCCATTGGCTGTGTTGTCTGTGTAGAGTGGGGTTTCTTTGAGGAAGGGTTCCACAAACTCAGCAAGCTCAAACTCCTCATCATCATCTGGCAGAGGCTCCTGACTCTGAGAGGTGACGGGAAAAACAATGAATCACTTTTAAGGGCAGAAGGGCTGGAATTCAACAGACTATAAAATAACTAGAAGAGTTATCTGAATGGTGAAAGGTGATCTGCAGCTGCAGCCAATAATAACAAGTCACCATTCATTTTACTATTCCTCCAGTTCTTACACACAGGCAAGCAGTCCAATGCAAGTGCGCCTTTGTAAGAGGACTTTGATGAAGAACACCACGCACCAAAGGGAGACAAGTAGATAATGTGCAACACTTACCTTAACAGAATGTCTGTGTGAAATGGGGTTGATCAGTGGGTCAAAGTAAAATGCAGGAAGATCGGGGTCTTCTGTTTTGATAAAAACCACATTTGGTGTGTGGTACCTAGGAAAAAAAACCAAAACCAAAACATCACAAGTGTTGCTTTTATATAGCCATTATGAAAAATAAAACAAATCTATGACGTTTATAAGCGATGAATGTCTCTCCTGTCTTGAATGAAAAAGGATTTTTCAGTCAGCCGGTATTTCAAGTAAACAGCAGTTCTCACCAGGTGAGGTGGACGTGGTGGGGCAAATTGTTGTACAGGTAGGGGAAGGCGATTTTGTACTCTGTCCTGATGGGCTGTCGGATGATGATTTTGTTGATGTCGTTGAACTCGTTCCAGTCTTCATCCCTACAGAAGATACAGAGGAACCAGTTAGGACACAAAAACACCAGCTTCTATTTTCACATTATGTTTGGAATCAAACAGCAATATCAAACAATTACAAGAAACATTTAAATTCTGCACTTTATTAACATTAATAACAATAAGTCTTTAGAATATTCATTTTATAAAAGGGCAAAAGAACATACTGGAGGTTGATGTCTCTGACCAACGGCTCAAACTTTGGTCCTCCAGGGATGGCCATGTTTAAAGCCTTGGACGTGAAGAAAGCCTTCAGGTCAAAGAGGTAAAAGTAGTTTCTATCAACCAGATCTGTCAGAAGCTGATTGGCCAGACGGTACAGTGTGGACATCATGGGCAGTGTGAACTGCCAACGACGATAGGTGGTCCCATTCACAAACCTGAGCAAGACAAAGATAAATCATCAATTAATGTTTTAAGCAACATATCAGTTGAATATGTAAACCTGTCTGTGAAGAGAGCCATGGCTGCTTACTTGGCTGTGTCCTTGAGGGGCTGATGTTCATAGAACCAGTCCACAACTGAAGCATCTTCCTCTGGATCAAGCTCCATCTGAATGGCCTCCAAGGGTTCCACATCAAGAATATTGTCAGCGTAGTCCAGTGGCGGCTCCTCATCATCAAAGGGTGGAAAGCGCATTCTTTTGAAGTGCCGACGATCTCTTTTCTCACGACGCATCATGATCCACATGGTGCTGGGATTAAAATCGGGAAAGAGACAAATTTACATTTTATTGAATGGAAATGATCACAGTTGGCTTGAAAGTTCTCAGCAGTAGAAACTCTCCCTTACCCCCACTGTGAAATGTAGACTGGCTCAATGACCCAAGGGATTTCATTGACAAATGAAATGGCTCCAGTGATGTGATAAAGCACGGGCACATCTCGAATCTGTTCCCAAGGCATCGGCATGTTTTCCAACAGCTTCAGCACTGCATGGGGCATGTACTTGAGGGCACTGTTCAACAAACAGACACAGAACAAGCATATGAAGATGTTATCAAGAAGAAAACACACCGACTTTTGTTAAGACTTTTAAAAAGGGATAAAGGAGTCATCTTTACCCAAGGTAGACCCTCTTGTCATGGCGAAACTTTCTATTGGTCATGTCTCCATGGTCCCTGATGATCTTGCGGACATGTTCAGGTGGCATATCTTCCTTCTGAGCATCCACAAAGCCAAACTTTCTCTTTTCTGAGTAGCGCTTTGCCTGTAACTGCTGCCATTTTCTTGCTGTAGAGTTGAAAGACATTTAATAATCGCAAAGTTAATCTTGTCCATTTGTGACAACATCTTCACTAAAAGCTCAAAACATGGAAGTCCCGCTTTAGTGGATACAAACAACATACCCTTCTCTTGTAATTTCTCCTCAGACATGTAGTCTGGGACAGGTGCAGGAAGGGACACACCAGGCGGCACAGCAGTTGGTACCCCTGGTGGCACACCGGGTGGCATCGCTGCAGGGACCCCTCTGTAAGGAAAGGCAGCTGCCATGGTGCCTCACTATCCAAAACAAAGACAAAAACCAAGGTATTAAAATAAGTGAGGTTTTTGATTATAACTGTATATAATCAAAACCCTGAGGAGAGAGGCGTTACATGTCAAAAAACCCAAATTACAATTAATTTAACTGAAACAAAAAATTGATCAGAAACATATTACACTGGCACATGAATTCCTTGTCTGGCTCCTGCAACCCACAGATTAAATAACAGAAGCCACAAAGTGAACGCGTGTGCTTAATACCTTGCAACGTCTAGAAAATAGAATGGCCTTGGACATAAACGCCTTTCAAAAATAAAAACTAGCTTCTTAATTCGGTAGAAAATGCATTTATTTCACATTAACTCATCTGTGTAGCTTCAACATCTTCGTGCTCACAGTTGATGAGCTAGCTAGGTTAGCCTAACATGGCCTCCCGGATGGCACAAAACTGCAACAGCAAGGCGAACTTTGCCCGCGTTTAACTGTTGTTAGCTCGTCCAGAAACAGCGTAAACCCGGGATATCATTCATAAATGGCTACATTATGTTACATGTAACACATTGTACTTCACGCCGCAGCACCTGTTATTAATTAGGCCAAGAGTGGAGGAAGCGGCAACTTAGCCAACTGCTAAAGCTAGCACGGTGGCTAACGATTGGGTGAGAGGTAAAATTAAGCAATAACAGAATGCATTCAACAACACGTACCTCGCTTACTTCACTCCCAATGTTTCTTATCGTTGGATAAAGCCTTAACCCGCACACAGTCAGCTAGCACAACATTTCTTTCTTATTCTCCGTGTTTTCCGCCTCAGTGTTGGGTTGATGTGCGCTAACACAAAACTGCATAGACGCACGACGGCGGACACACGATGAACGAGCTTCAGTAGTATTCACAGACGGCGGTTACGCCCGATATTTCTCTACCCCCGGTAAAGAATCTGCTTTACGCCAGTAAATATGCGTAGAAGTTAAACAAGCGCAATTTTTGCGAATACCCGTATGATCCCGTTTCCGGTGCACTACTGCCCCCTGCAGTATTGGAGTGCGATCCTGTAAAGTTTGTTGCTTAAACAAAAGCATGATTTGCTGATTTGTTGTATTATTTAATCACATTCCAAATATTTCATTACAGTTATTTGCTTCTTGTTTTATTTCTGACCTGAAGTCATTTATTTCTTTCGTCATTTCTCTTCCGTCCTTTGTACTCCTCTCTAGGGACTACAAACACAAATGTAAATCTCCAAAAGTTGATTCTGTTAAACTGGACGTAGCGTTTTGTGGGAGAAACGTTTCGTCACTCATTCAAGTGACTTCTTCAGTCTCACCCGAGGACAGTCTGGAGACTGAAGAAGTTACTTGGATGAGTGACGAAACGTTTCTCCCACAAAACGCTACGTCCAGATGAACAGAATCAACTTTTGGAGATTTACTTTCCTGGATGATTGCGAATGCATCAAGACAAATGTGAATTGCTTTGCCGCCACCCCCCGCCAAAAAAAGCCGGTCACGACAGACAAACAATGACGCCTTTATTGTGAAAAGACCACACCGGAAGAACGGCCGGACGTGACCCCACTGTCGTCTTTCACACCGGTACACTGACTGAATTTTACACCATTTGAATTTAGTTTTTGTAATTTTGACAGCTTCTCGGAAGAAATGGCGACTAGTGAGGACGTGCGGGAAAATGTGAAGGTACTCTAGTCCTGAGTGTCGCCCAGACACTGCTCAGCTTTCTGTTCATTCACAGTTTATGGACATATTTTTTATTTTGTCCACAGTTATTCGAGCATTGCAGAATAGTTGCTCGGGCGTGATTGATTTATAACCAGTGGAATTTCTTTTGATTTTAATAAGTTTCTTTTCAGGTTATTTTATGTATTCTGCAAAAGAAAGGTTTGCGGTGTCCACTTTGCTGTACGTTGTCTTAATAAACGTGCATGAGGACAGCTGTTAATGTGGCTGTGCAGAAATACTACGGCAAGCGGCTGGAGTCCTCGGGTGATCTGCAGACAGGTGCCGCCTCCTGCGGATCGTCCTGCAGACCAGCGCCCAGAAGTGTTACCGAAGCTCTGAGTGAGGTTCACCCTGAGGTGACCAAAAGGTGAAATCTCGCTTTGGAATCATAAGCAATTAAAGGTGTTTTTATTCTTACCAGATATCAGCAGTGAAAAAAAATCCCAGCCGACCATATTTGAGTTACCTGAAGAAAGTTCCAGGATGATGCACTTTGTAATATTCAGTAGCATCTTCAAACATTTCTAAGCAGTGTTGTCTGTTTTTCTGTGGAGCAGAAGCCACGTGTCTGCTACTGTGACTTCAAAAAAAAAAGATAGACTCAATGATGGTGCCTGTAAACACAAATATGAATTTTTCCAAACTTCATTTAGGAAAAGCAAGGCCAAACACCATCACAATCACAAACTTTAGACATCTTACTACCAGACACCACATCTTTCCATAGATTTTCTTTCACTTATCCTGATCTTTTCACTTTTGCTCAGGCTGGAAGCATTTGGTCAGCTGACATGGAATAGACCCAGACAATCATATTATTGAGATTCCCACATATGGGATCATTCTGTACTGCCTGATTAGAGACAACAGGTTTTCCTGTAATGACTGGTGTTATTGGCTCTCTTCAGGTTCTTCGGCTGTGGTCTTCCATTTCCAGCAAAGCTCGAGGGCTGCAGAGTCCTGGATCTCGGCAGTGGCTCCGGCAGAGACTGCTATGCTTTTAGTAAACTGGTTGGGCCGAATGGACACGTGACTGGGATCGACATGACACAGGAGCTGGTAATTACAGGTTTCTGCACAGATGGCACTTTGATGTCTGCCCCTTCCTGATGTAGTTAATTCATGTTCTTTTAGATCACAGCAGCTCGTCAGTATGTTCAGTATCATCAAGATAAGTTTGGCTATAAGGAGCCCAACGTCACATTTGTCCAGGGCTACATGGAGAACCTCAACGAAGCTGGCATTCAGAGTGACTCCATGGATGTAGTGATGTAGGTTTAAATGATGTAGTTGTGTTGGCTGTCAGGTGAAAAAAAGGAGCTTTAATTTGGTTGTTAAAGTTTTTTCCCCTCTTTGTAATCTCTTCAGATCCAACTGTGTGATCTGTCTATGTGCTGATAAAAGAGCAGTGCTGCAGCAAGCCTACAACGTCTTGAAGGTTACCCTGACGAATCATCATTAACACAAATAAATGTTTACATGTTGTCACACACACACAAAGAAATATAGGAATATAAGGTGCACTCACTTATTTCATACAGGAGGGAGGTGAGCTTTACTTCAGTGATATGTTTGCCAGTAAGATCATCCCTGATCACATGAAGCAAGACGCAGTCCTGTGGGGTAAAACAAACACTGCTTCTAAATCCAGTTAATTCAAAGCCAACCATCTCTGCCGTCACCGATAACTCTTCAGTCCCCGTCTCCTCTGACTTAGGTGAGGGGATGGGCGGCTCTCTGTTTTGGCCCGATCTAATCTCATTGGCCCACAGCATGGGTTTCAGCTCTCCACACCTCATCTCAGCGAGCCACATTGTGGTCTACAACAGTGAGCTCAAAGCAAAAGCAGGTAACAAAGAGGCACATTTTCAGACAGCATTCACTCTGATTTCACAACTGAGCAAGCTCTTCATTTTGTAGGCGACATCAGTTATGCTTCAGGCACTTACAGGCTCTTTAAGCTGCCCAGAAGTCCAGCGATGTCAAACGCTACTGTGACCTATAAAGGGACGTTGGCAGAATTCCCAGATCAGCTGGACTTTGATTCCTCCCACTGCTTCAAGGTATAAAAGGCACCCTTTCTCTTATCAGCATGTACGCAGAGACATTTATTAACCTGCTTTTATTCTAAAAACACAGGTGATAATTAGTCTGGAAGTGTTATAGTTTTTAATTTCAGAAAAAAGACATATATCCAATTAAACTCTTTTCCTCTTACACAGAAAGACGTAGCAGTGCAGGTAAACGGAGAGATGGCAGCAGTCCTCCAGAGTTCCCGTTTCTCCTCCGACTTTAAAATCCAGATGTTGGATAAACAGGAGTCCAAGTCGGAGACAACGCCAGAGGTATCCAACACCACAAGTTCACTGTGGCTAAAATGCTTTTAAATTATAACTTTTTACCCCTTGAGAGCGAACTAAGAAAAACTCTTGAAGCTCTTTTCTGAACTGAGCGGTCGTCAAATCACGTTTTTAGTGATATTGACTGAGATGTCAGAACTCATTATTAAAGGTACAGGTTGTTAATTGGTGTTTTGATATGGGAAAGAGTTAACGCTTCAGCGTGCTTAAGTTATGATATTAACATAGTTTTATCTTCTCAGTATTGCCACCTCAACCCATTTCTGTTGGCTGATAAACTGGGATCCTCCGTGAAGCAGTGCTCTAAAACAAGCAAATGAAGAGGCAAGTGACTGATCTGAAGGCTCAACAGAAATGTTGTTTTTGAATTTTGGCTTTATAAAGACATAATTTTACTAACTAATGGGGAATCTTGTAGATAATCTCACAGATCGTGGCCAGTGACGTGTCTCCATATTTCATATTTAGACATTAAAATGTATTTTTGTAGAAAACACAAGTATGTTTCTCTGTAACACTATCAACTCAGAGTTTGAGCTTCTTTATGCTGATGTCATAATTACCATGTGAACAACAACATTTACAGAAGTGGAAATAAAAATACTTAATGACATAATAACCAGTGTTTAATATTTGACATGGAATTTTACAACAGCATAATAAAACGACTGCATTATAGGGGATTTAAACAGCAACATTCAGGTACTGAAGTGGATGCGTGACGAGCAGCTGCCGACAGGCTGACAGTGTTAAATACGAAATGACGTAAACATTCAGGGGTGTTGAAACAGAAAAGTGTCGCACATGTTTAACATCTTTACCACCATAAAGGAGTTGGTTATTTTAAGGAACCAAAACATGTTTAAAGATGCCGCACACTTTCTCATATCATAAGGAATACATGAGCTATGACTCTGTTGTATAATGTATTAAGGCACTACAGTACACATAAAAAAGAGGTCAAAAACAAACTTTTTATCTTATTTATCTTTCATGGGCAGTATTTTAAAGTGTTTTGTAAATGTTGTAAATGTAAATGTTGTATTCTCATGTGAAGTGTAGTGACGTGTGTGTTTAAGAAATTTGAGTGTATAGTATGAAATGAAAAAGACATTTAAGTAACTGAGAAAGTTGATAAACATTTTCAGCTCATAAAAACATCTAAATGCACTCAGTGGCCACTTTGTTAGGTACACCTGCTCAACTGTACAAATATTGAATCATCCAATCACATCACAGCAGCTGGTTATCTCTTGAAGTTCAAACTTAGTGTCTGAATGTGAAAGAAAGCTGCTTTAAGTGACTTTGAATGTGATGAGATTGTTGGTGCCAAACTGGCTGGTCTGAGTATTTCAGAAGCTGCTGATCTGCTGGGATTTTCCCACATAGAAATCTCGAGGGTTCACAGAGAACGGTCTAAAAAAAGAGAACATATCCAGTGAGTACTCAGCGTAAAAATGCCTCGTTCATGTTGGAAGAGAATGACCAGACAGCTTCAATCTGAAGCTGAAGGTAACCGTAACAAATAACCATTGGTTACAATAAAGATATCTAGAAAAGCATCTCTGGGAGCACAGTATCTCAAACCCTGATGCAGATGGGCTACAGCAGCAGAGGACCACACTGGGTGGCACTGCTGTCAGCTGAGAAAAGGAAACTGAAGCTTCAGTTTACACGGCTCATCAAAAATGGACAAGAGAATGTAAAATGTTGCCTGGTCTGATGATTTCTGTTGCGAGGTTTAGATGGGTCAGAATTTAGCGTAAACAACATGAAAGCGCAGATCCCTCATGTCTTGTCGCAGGGATTCAGGCTGCTGGTGGAGTAGATGTGTGGGGGATTTTTCTTGTCACAATTTAATGTTGCCTGCTAACCTTAACTACAGACTGTACCTTCCTAAGACATCACATCTTTAGTAAAGCAACCAGAAAAACATAAAAATAAACTAATTAAAGAGATCAGTGTGCACAAAGAGAGAATTCAATAAAGCTGTGACTGCTACTATAGTAACAGGGCTCTTTAATAAGAGCAGATAAGAGAAGCCGGCTAGTTTCCAGGCAGCCTGAGGCAGAAAGTGGATTAATTGATGTCATGTCAGACAGAAGGAGAGAAAACCAAAGCAAGAGATGACATCACTCATCGCTGAGAGGCGTAAATCCTGGTTATATCTGCAGCCAGCTCAGGTCTTCAGCTCTGAACAGAAGAGGAGAGGAGAAAACAAAAATTAAACACTGAGCAGCTTTCACGTTATAAGCTAGTGGCTTGGTTTATTATTTTTTAAAACATGAACTAAGGTTGGTTTTGGTAGCATATAGTAGTGGTTAAAACTGCTATAAATAATAGTTGTCATCAAATTTTACTTTAAGTATTTTTCATGTTTTAGATTGCAGGTTGTTTTAGCATAAACACACCAATAATACACTTCTCACTTCCTGCATAACACCATGTGGCAGACAGATGCCATAAGCAGCTAACCTATAAATCATAGTGAAGAATTTAGCATCTGAAGGACCAGATGTTCCTCTGAGAATTTAGTGGAAAGCAAACAGAGGCACCAGTGGATTTCAACATGACACATAAATGACAGACAATGTCGTCCCGTATGTCCTGCATAGGGTTTGTCTCTAGTCTGTAAAGAAAAGGATATAACTTCCAAGGCTAAAAAGTGACGCCAATGCAGAAGCTGCAGTTTTTCTAGTGACCAGCAGGGGGCAATGCATATGGCTTCTGATCACAAAGAAGTCAATGTCACTCCCATCAGTTAGATGGGAGATTAGATGTTCGAACATTTAATTTTAAAGGTAACTGGAAAGCAGCATGGTTCAATTCAATGTTATTTATATGGTGCCAAATCACAGCATATATATATATATATATATACACATATATATATATCACCTAAAGGTGCTTTTTTTTGGTAAGACCCTACAATCATACAGAGAAAACCCCAACAGTCAGAAAAAACTCCCGACAAGCAAGCACTTGGTAACTGTGGGAAGGAAAAACTCCCTTTTAACAGGAAGAAACCAACAACAAATGTAACTGCTATTACAGTTGAGGAACTAAACATTTTTGTATATTTTACAGTCTAACTTGTATAAATGCAGGACAGCACTCACTGAGCCTGTGCTTTTGTTAAGATTTGGCCTCTAGCCATCAGCTCTGCGATGCGAGCCACGGCAGGATCGAACATCAGGCTGGCCGCTGCCACCACCACATCATCCCTGTCCAAAAAAAAAAAAAAAAAAAGGGTAACGTGAGAAACTTTACACACAGAGGACGAGCTTATGGTCAGCTGTTCGGGGCTAACTCTGCACTCACTTTATGTAGAAAGCCAGAAATTTCCTTTCTTCCATTTTGCCTTTGAATATAATTTCTGTGTATCCTTCCCCATAGCCTAGAAAGAGGAAATGAGAGGAGGAACAAAGATTTAACAAAGCCTCATCTTAAAAAAAAATTACATTTTAAAGGTGACATTTAGAAGTCAACACTCCACCGGCGTATCGGATACTCTTCCCAAGCAAAACAGTCCAGAAGAAAGGAACAGACTCAATTTTTGTGGATTTCTTCAGCATATTCAGAGCTGCTACTCTTCCTGGTACAAAAGACATAAGGTTTAACTCGGCATTAAATCACCCATTATAAGTTTTCGACTGAATGAAAAACACAGTCCTTTAGCCTCTCACCGTGAGCGTGTGACATTTGCCAGTGACCAATGCTGACCCTCTGGTCGCCTCGAATGGTCAGAGGGAAAGAGGTAACATCTCCAGCGGCAAAAATATCTGGTACGTTGGTCCTCATGAACTGTTAGAATAGATGAATAAAGGCTACAGCAAGAACCTCAACATAAGACGTGTAAAATACATACGTGTAGCTATTCCCTCCATTCATCAGGGCACACAGTTAGGGCTATATTTTTTTTAGTTTTTGCCTCTGTATGTTTTCAGGCAACGTCTAAACTGGCCTTCCATGTCATTGAGTGAAATCAGTAGTTTGCACCTTGATGTAAATTCTCTCCATGACGCCATCTCTTGATTGTAGACTTTGAAAATAACACTTGCGCCTCCTTGAGAGTGTTAATGAATCTGTTAGATGCTGTTTTATTTATTTTAAACTGAGGAAACATTACTATGATCATGAACTTAGATTCATTCTTTGTAAGAATGAACCAGACTGTTGATTTGACAGGTTTATTTTGGTTAGCGGTCATCAGATGTGCAGATAATGTAAGAAAGAGACCTTTTCGAAGCAAAAGTTTTGATTTTTTTTAACGTAGGAAAAGCAAAAGTGTACTCATATCGACGATGCTGGCTCACCATCAAAGCTTACGGTAACAGTTAAAGAAACGTAGACACCTCTGGGTGCCATGCTTTAGTTATATCAGCATAAGTTCGGCTGTGCCCTCTACAGGCTGCGTTACCTTGTCAACAATCACAGCTTTCCTTGAATCCACTTCCACCTCGCTTCCTGCCAGTAAGTCTGAATTGGGGATTACACCTGAAAAACATATATTTGACTCTGATATTGGTGGAGCTACACAGGAAGTTTCTGTCTGACTTTGTTTAAAACAATCATCACTCATAAAGCAATGTTAGCAAACACCACACATCCCAACGTCTCCACACTCAAACACTCCCAAACTTGATTTGCATTTCAGGCAAACCTAAACACTGAAGTAGAAAAATAACTACCAATGCCAGCAATCACAACATCAGCCTCCAGGACTACACCACTCTTCAACACCACCTGCTTCACCTGAAAATCCCCCCCCAAAAAAAACATCAGTTATGGCTGTTTAAGCAGAATATATTAGACTTCAGAGATAATGGGTTATTTTACAAGTGATACCATGAGGGTTGATGTTTGATCTTTGTTACTAATGCTGCGGGTGACATGTATTCCTGTTCTACAATCATTAACCAAACCGTCCGTCATGAAAATAATGGCAGGCAGAGATACCTTCCCATTCTCTCCTCTGATCTCGGTGACTCGATCGTTCATGTGGAACTTCACATTTTTTTCTTCCAACATCTGAAAGTGAAAAACTGTGTTTTAATTATGTTAATTAAAAAAAATCCAAAAGAGTAGCACTGAAAACTGTTGTCATCATAGTCGCGCACTTGCATACTCAGCTGGCCGATCTCTGACCCCAGAGTGCGCTCAAACGGGTATTGAGTAGTGCCAACCATAGCCACACTGGCAGCTTTGTCTGAAAAGTAGGACGCCACCTCCATACCTAATATGCAAATGAAAAACACATCAGCGACGTGCACATTTGTGTGCCATAGCTGTCAGATATCTATGAGCAAAGAGCGTCACGTCAACCCCGATGGGCAAAAAGATGAAAGATGTCTCATTCTTTAACATAAAAAAAGAAACCTTATTTAATAACCTATGAAAGACGCTCCGGTAACAACTACTTTCTGGCCAAGGCTGGAGCTGTAAATGTCTTTGGCGTCTTCGTAACTCTGCAGTAACTTTACTCCTTCCAGGTCTGAACCAGGACAGGTGAGCGGCCGTGCCCTGTGAACAAAAAAAATA